AACCGGGGGGTGGGCGGGCCGGGGGGGCCGGGCTGAAGAAGCCACGGCTACCGAAATGCTGCTGCTTTAAAAAGGCTCTTCGCTGGCTGCAGTCAAAACCACGCTACGCCTAACGTCACTGAGCAACAGAAATAGCAGGCGTGAGTGAAGGGAGGAGAACGAGAGTATTAAGAGCGCACAGATTTCAAACATACTTGGCTAGGCAGCACGCTCCCTTCCTGCCGCTGCCTTTCCAGATGCGACGGAGCACGGGGATCTCTCGCTGTCTGCCCATGAAGGAGGATTCTCTTCTTTTCTTTTTTCCCTTTTTTTTCCTTTTTTAAGTTTCAGCTTTAATACTACTAGATTCATTTTTATTTTATTTCCTGTAGGAAACTTCATCTACTGGATTTAAAAGCAAGGTTTGAGCAGGAGGAATTCATTTATGTTTGTAGCTACTGGAATGTGCATGGTACTCCGGTGTGATGATAACGTAGAGGGAAAGGCAGGATTGGCTGAGAAAACTGCGTAGACCGTAAGATGCTTGAATGGCTGCTTGGAATAACAAGCTCTTTACTGTGTGTGTGCATGTGTGTGAGTGTGTGCATTTATGTACGAGCACAGCAATGACAGTAACTTTAAAACAATGCAAGGTTTTCCCACCTCACTTCATTTCCTCCTCCAGGAGTGAGGATTTGCATAGCTGTGGGCTCTGCCTGGAGACAGGCGAGTGTCCGAATTGAATTAGTGCTGCAGTAACTTTATGAATGAGGCAAAAGGCAGGTTCAGTGGAAGAGGAGCAGAGCAGGGAGATGCGGCGTGCCGAGCTCTCTCTGGCAGGAGCTGTCACACCAGGGAACTGCACAGACGTGCACAGGCACGGCACGGATCTGCTACAAGTGCCCGGAGCACAAAGTGAGGCAGCTGCAAGAAGACAGCACCTGGACCACGGAAACATGCTCCTGAAAATGAGCTATCACGAATCCAACTGAGCTTGATAGCTGCGTGCATGACCAGCTCTGGGCTTAGCTGGAGCATCCCCATGCAGAGCCATTTGCTTCTGACCAACCGTGCCAGCGATCGTGTGGCAGAGGAGCAGGCAGAGCTCCCTGAGCATCCATGTCTCCTTCACGCGCGACGCCTCTGCTGCCAGCGCAGCTCGTACACGAACGTCGACACAGTGGACAATGAGGGAGCAAGTCGGTGCATGGACAGGCTGGCTTATCCATGTCCAAAGCCAAGCAGGAGGAGACCGCACAGCATGGCAGGACGAGGAGGAGGCAGATTTGGGTTTGCAAGGTCCAAGAAAGCCGAGATGCTGGTGAAGCTGCTGGAGACCAGCCCAGAAGAACGACATCCCAAAGGAGTACTGACCACTGCAGGACCACACTTCATCTCTGCCCCTCAGATGTCTGTACCCAAGGAACTTGGGTGGGAGGGGGGCTCTGGGTATTGTGTTTTTTCTCTTTTTGTTTTTTTTTGCACCTCTATCCTATTGTTAAAGCAAGGAGAAATCGCACTCTCTCCTGGTTAGCTTTCTTTTACGCAGAGTTTTTGCATGCCATCTCCACAGCTCTCATCACCCACAGCAAGTGGTAATGGGAAGAAAAGAAGATGAGGGCAAGCCATGGAGAGGATGAACATTGTCCATCCTCTAGTGCTACAGAGGTGACTGTCAAGGTCTTTGACACAAGGGCAGCGGAGGAGGGCCTGGTGCCGTAACCCTGCTGCCAAGGAGCAGGTGGGAGGAAAAAGGCAAAGGAGTCGGAGCTGGTGTGGAGGCACAGAGACACCAAACTCGCTGGGAAAAGCTGCAAAACTTAGCAAATCCCCAGGATAAAACAAACCCCACCCACCTGGTGGAATGAGGCAAAGGGAGGTCTCTGCCTGCTGAGCCCTGCAAGGACAAGGTGATCCAGTATCCCCTCTCGCAGTGTTTTCCAAACAGAGAGACAATCTGAGCTCCATAAAACGCATAGTGCAAGTGCAATTCTGTGTGCAGTGACCTTTAGGTTGACACAAGCTTCTAGTATGCCTTAAAATTCAGGCATTTTAGTACTTCTTCAGTGTTTATCTCAGGTAGGTGTGATCTCCCTTTGCCTACCTCCAGAGCTAGTATAAATTCAAAGCAACACAGTCATGACTTGTAGAGTATTGGGCTTGAACTAACCAAAAGCTCCCACATACAAAGAGTGACTACCTGCCTAACAGGCTGCAGAGCAATCTCACACCCGCTGCACAAAGCTGTTTAGATGGTTCATAGACAGGTCTGTCTGAAATATATCTGTGCATGGACACATGGAAGTCCATGGGATCACACTTGAAAGAGAGCATGAAAAAAAACTCATGGGTACAGATGTACAAAACCCACAGTGCAACCTACAACTTGCTCGATAGATAGAAAATGCATTTTTTTCTCCATCACTCAACGACAATTGGCAACTGCAGGTCAGGACATAGCAGGAGCTTCTCATTCAAGGAAAAGTTACTCTGTGAAAACACTGCAGAAATGCTGGACAGCACTTGGAGTGTATGACAAAATAGAAACAATTTGGCTGCGAGTGGTAAATCCAAAGGTTTTTTTCCCATTTTTGGAGTTCTTTTACCCCTTCAGGGTTAAGAGCTTAGCAAAGAGCTTCAAGCAATCACACTGGTAGATCTGTAAGTTGCTGTTATGACGCCTTTTTCCCCAACCCCAAATAAACTTTAAGGATTGCAGCAAGTGGTTTCAATGAACCACGCAATTTCTTTTGTCTCTTTTCCACAGACACACTAAGACACGTTACTCCTCAAAGCTGTGCTCTTGTAACAATGGCATGAACCCTACATACAAGTGGCCTCAGTGCAGAAGACTTTTGGTAGATGAAGATGTGCACTCAGGGACAGCTAACTTCTAAATGATAATTTGTGTTGCTATGGCAGATTTCTAATATGTTGGTTTCTGATGTCTTTCCTCTAGTGGAGAATGCAGATCTTCGTTGGATGAGACCTTGCTAAGAAATGGTTCACCATCTCCCAGTGGTCACATTTCTCAAAGCAGAACAAACAGATCTTCAGACCCCAGTGGCATGAACAAAGCCTCCAGCATTAAAAGATCAGCAGGATGTCGCTGACCGACGAGCTGGACAGCCACTTGTCTGCAACCCCCTACATGGTGACAGACACCAGCGAGGGCAGTCTGTTCAGAATCAGACCCAATGCCTCCACCAATGCCACCGGGGACGGCACGCTGACCACCGGCTCCATGGAGGACATGATCGCCATCTGCACCATCGGGACGATTCTCTCCCTCATGTGCGTGATTGGGGTGACAGGCAACGTCTACACCCTGCTGGTGATGTGCCATTACTTGCGATCATCTGCCTCCATGTATATTTATATCATCAACCTTGCACTGGCGGACCTGCTCTACCTTCTCACCATCCCCTTCATCGTTGGGACCTACTTCATTCAGAAATGGTACTTTGGGGATATTGGCTGTCGCATCCTGTTCAGTCTGGACTTCCTCACTATGCACGCCAGCATCTTCACCCTCACAGTCATGAGCACAGAGCGCTACTTTGCTGTGCTGAAGCCCCTGGACACAGTGAAGAGGTCCAAGAGTTACCGAAAGGCCATTGCTGTTGTCATCTGGCTGGTGTCACTGCTGCTCACTCTCCCAATGCTCATCATGATCCAGCTGGTGCAAAGGGACAACAAGAGCATCTGCCTGCCCACTTGGAGCAAGCTGTCCTACAAAGTCTATCTCACCATCCTTTTTGGTACCAGCATCGTGGGTCCAGGGGTGATCATTGGCTACCTTTACATCCGATTAGCTAAGATTTACTGGGTGTCGCAAACAGCATCCTTCAAGCAGACCAAGCGGCTGCCGAATCAAAAGGTGCTCTATTTAATCTTCACGATAGTGCTGGTGTTCTGGGCTTGCTTCTTGCCTTTCTGGGTATGGCAGCTCCTCTTCCAGTATTACGAATCCTTCCCTTTATCTCCCAAGGTGATGAAAAACATTAATTATCTGACAACCTGTCTGACCTACAGCAACAGCTGTATCAACCCTTTCCTCTACACCCTGCTCACCAAAAACTACAGGGAGTACCTGAAGAACAGGCAGCGGTCCCTTAGCAGCAGCAGTGGGTATTTCCAGAGGAGGAACCGGTTTCAGAGGATTTCAGGGAGATCCCTGTCCACGAGCAGTCAGCACTGCACAGAGACATACGTTCTTGCTCACGCTCCTTTGGGAAACAGCAGTGCCTGAAGGTAAACCATATCTTCAAGAACAATCAATACTGACTTACATGTTGCTTTGATTTAAAGTGTACGTTGTAAAGGCAAAGCCTTAGCAGATCCATAACGTGCACACATTTAGTCCAGAGGCTGTACCGTACGTCTGTTCCCATTTTCTTTAGTGCCACTGATTTGATGCTAGCAACGTTCAGCTCAACATCTATCTAAATAGCCTTTCACTTTTTATCTTCATACTTCATAGTGTGTGTGTCTCCTCAAGTAGCCATCAATAATGAAAGCCTATAATAGGGCCATGGTTTTTAATAGTATCAGTCGTCTCACAGAGTTTAAAATCATGTTATCCCGTGAATGGCTGTAGTTTGCTCTTTCTTTTCTCGAGCAGTAAAGCTAAATTTGTAGTTGTATGAGGACTGAAAACAACAAAATAAAGACAAAGCGGCTGATGTTTGTGACATGCGATCCAGTTTGAATTAGGGGTAGGACTGGACAATGTGGATGAGGCATAGCCAGGGGCATTTGTCCTGGGTTTGGTTGTATTCACATTTATTCTACACTCATGTGTATGCCCTGGGTTTGGTTCTCCATTCGCACAGGTGTCTGGAGTGGAGTTACACCACAGTTCACGTTAGCAAGACAGGCTTCTCGTGGCAGTGCCACAGTCAGGGAACACTCAGCATCCCCTAATGCGCTGACCCTAAACACATGAGCACCCATGTAGGAGAGCATCCATCCAACCTGGATGAGTGAATCTGCCCTCCGCTCTCCTCCAAGGAGGAATCAGGAACCTCTGACGTTGTTATCCTCAGGGCATCTATCGACAAACTGCAACATCCACCCTGAGGGACCAGACCTACATCACCAAGTCCAGGAGGAAAGGACAGATGGAGAGGAGAGGGGGTGAGGAGATGTGCTCTCCAATGGGCAAAGCTGTGCTATCTGAAGTCCCTAATATTCTCAATTATAAAAGCACTAGTTGCCTGTTAGTGACATCACTTTTTCCCTTCACAGGAGGTTAGTGAATCTAGTCCTGCCTACACCAAGAACACTTTGCCTGTCCTGGCTTTCACTGATGATTAAACATCATTAGTATAAATATATCCTCCATGATGTCTGGCGCTTCTCCAATGGGTCTAAATGTACCTCCTCGGGGACGCTGCCAACATCTGCACAGGAGCCCTCTGCTTGCATTAGCCCTGTTACCTCATCAGCAGGACACAACGATGCAACGCCAACACAACTCTAACCGAGTTACAGAATTAGAAGCAAATTAATGCTTAGGAGCAAATTCAGAACGGCAGCATGATACACCATTTGGCAGTGAACTCCATTTGCTTACATAGAAACTGAATTTAGGTTTTAACCATCTAGTGCCCTTCAAGGCATTTAAATTATCATTGGTCATGGGGACAGCAAAAGCTCTGCTACAAGCCTGCCTGGGTGATACACTTGGGAAAGAAATTGTCTCTTTCATGCCCAGGCTTAAACTTTGTTCTGTATGGGGAAGATGGCACATGTCATGAAAGAGGACTCACGTGTGCAGTTTGAACGTTGAACTGTTGCAGAAACCGGAAGAGCCTCACTTTGTGTTCCCAACCACCTCCATGCACACCATCCGCAGTGGTCCTGCGGGGCAGGGCACCTTACCTGCCCCCTGCTTGCAGTGCAGTACACTGGGCAGCAAGTCTGACTTCCTGACTTCAGAGGGGCAGATTACCCTTATATTTGGCTATTTCCTACACTGACAGCACTTGTTGGTTTTCAGACCCTCCTCAGGCTGGAGACATGCTAGTCAAAGCCCATTAGAGAGAGTAAAGCATCATTCACCCCACTGTAAGGACAAAGGAGACCATGGATGGGAGGGGAAGAGGCTTGTTATATTCATGCACCCATTTTCCACTTCTGTAGTCAGGTGTTTATCACGGGTCAAAATGTAAAATTTGGCCTCCTTTTTTTCAGAAATTGCAATTTTAATTTCTCCTTGCTCAGAAGTAATCAGACAAGCTCAAGGCAAGCTCAGCACGAGCAGTTTCCATTGTTGTAAAGGAAAGCTACTGTGGGCTGAGCCTTTAGAAAGCACAGTCCATCTTTTCTAAAACCAGACAGTCAAAATGAGAGGGTGGTTTGCAAATCTCAACTCATCCAGGCTTTGCACACCCAGGAGGACAGCGCAGAAGAGTTACCAAAAGCCACAGGAGCAGCTCTGTCTCCAGAGTTAACCAGTCGAACCCCTTTGTCCCCAGCAGTACTGCTCTGATTAACATCTCCAAGCCCACCACAACCAACAGGTCTCAGAAAACATTTGCAAAAAGCCTGCCGTGGCTCTGCAGCAGGATCAACGTGCTGTGGAAGTGAGGCCATGCCAGAGGCCTCGCCATGCCCTGGGAGGTGAGCTGGGAAGACACACAGCCTCAGCCCTGGCTTCATGGTCTTGTTTCTTGTTTGACGCTGGTGCTGTGCTTTCAGCAGGGGCTTGCAAATGTGTTTGGCAAATCAGCACAACAAAGCCCAGAGAAAAGAAGACACCCACAAGTCAGGGAACCATTGCAGGTGATGTTTCCATCCATACTGGGTCATTTCTGAATGCTGAGATGTTCCATTCAAGCCTTTCAATCTCCACCCCAGGCTGGGGTTTTATCAGTCTTTCAAACACTCACATCCATCACCACTCAGCATGGGCAACAACAAAAGAATATTATCCCACATCTACAGGTAAAAGCAAGGCTCTGAGCAGCTCACAAGCCCCAGCTCTGCATCTCCAACTAACTTTACCGGGCATCAGCCACACTGATACCGAACACTAGCCAGCTGTCCTCTTCCTGAAACCAGACAGCAACTCAGCCTCAGTTGCTGCTGCACATAAACGGGGGAGCCAGAGCCTTCAGCGAGGTCCACAGAAGGAATTGCCTCCTCCAAGACACAGATTAATTGCTTGGTTAACAAAAGCCATAAAAGGATCATTGGCCCTATTTATTCCTCCTTGCAGAAACCGATCATCAGTCAAAGACCCGAGAGCTGATTTTTGCATAAACAAAATTTGAAATCAGTGCGAAAGGGACGTGTGTGCACGCGTGGCCACGTGCTCGCCTCCCTCAGACCATGCCCCTACACCTGCACCCTATTTGCTGGCTCTTTCTTCTCCGTGGGGTGAGACCAGGAGCTCTTTCCTCATCGTGAAATCTTAAATCCCCTCATCTTCAGAGCATTCAGTGTCCCACAGACTGAATTCTGTGTCACAAAAATTCAGTGTCACCAGTTGAAATTCAGGTAGAAGTCCAAACTCCCTTTTTTTTTTTTTTTCTAATTTAAGCCAGCCATTTAGCAATGCCTAAAGACTCAAAGAAAGGACAACTGTAAATACACCATCGGGGTGTCCAAAAAGGGCCAGGCCAGGGATGCCCACCCCTGCGGTGCTCTCACCAGCTAGGAAAGGCCGAGTACCCACTCTGATGGCTGAAACAGGCATCAAACTACAGCTGGAGCCAGGCAATGTTTTCAGCTGGATAGAGGCTTTGCCAGAAAAGGATGACGTTTGTGTTTATACAAACTATTTGCAAATCCATCCAGAAATTTAAGAATCCTTCTGGAAATTCTTTCTTCTTTTTTTTTCTTTTCTTTTTTTTTTTCCTCCCAAATACTGAATTGTCTCATTTCAGCCTTTAGGAGGCAAAACAACACAATTTCTCACTTCAAGATGAAGTTTTAGTCATCAGTTTGCTTACACTTAATTTAAAAAAAATCCTCTGTCCATTTTATTCAAACCACAGGACTGTTATGAAAAGTTCTGCAGTTCAAGTAGCAAAGCAGAGAGCAGCAGCTCACTGCGCTGTGCAGTGCTCCGTCCTAAACCTGTCTGGATGGGGTGGGCACCCACAGTGGGGAGTGGGGCAGCGCCCACCCTCTGCCCAATTCCCACTCCCAGAGTTGCAGCAGAGGCACAAACCCCCCTCCTCGCCCGCTCAGGGAGCCCAATTTAAGCTGATCGACAACCCGTGTCCAGTCTGAGTCCTATCCTTGTTCCTGCAACTCGTTCACTGCAAGGGCTGAAGATGAGGTTGCTTTGGGTCACCCTTTTAACCTATGTGGGTGTCCCACCTTGCTCTCTGGGAGATAACCAGGCCAGCGATTCCTCAGCCTACCTCTACATCAGACTGAAAAACCTTGGCACATGCTCCCAGAAGAGGATCTGGGCAATAATAAAATAATAATAAATAAATAATAAATAAATTAAAAATAAATACTAAAAAAATAATAAATCTGTGGATGCCCCATCCCTGGAAGCATTCAAGGCCAGGTTGGATCAGGCGGAGATAACCAGGCCAGCGATTCCTCAGCCTACCTCTACATCAGACTGAAAAACCTTGGCACATGCTCCCAGAAGAGGATCTGGGCAATAATAAAATAATAATAAATAAATAATAAATAAATTAAAAATAAATACTAAAAAAATAATAAATCTGTGGATGCCCCATCCCTGGAAGCATTCAAGGCCAGGTTGGATCAGGCTTTGAGCAACCTGGTGTAGTGGAAGGTGTCCCTGCCCATGGCAAGGGGGTTGGAACTAGATGATCTTGAAGGTCCCTTCCAACTCTAACAATTCTGTGATTCTCTGATAAATCAACACACACAGTTTCGTTCCACTTACAGCTGCACGATGGGCAAAGACTGGCTGAGTGAGGAGCAGGGATATAAGTTCACTAGTTCAGTACGTGGCCAGGTTGTGAGAGGTGGGATTTCAGATGTGATCAGCTTCCATTTCTCTGAGGTCCTTGCTAGGAAACTTCTCATTTCAGTGTTTGCTTAAGGGCATTAAAATGAGAGGCCAAATGTTGAGCAGATCTTGGAGAGCAAATCTGCACCTTGACAGAGCTGCCTAGAAAAAAGTTTCCTCTTGCTGGTGCTGTCCCACTTGCATCTGCTGCGACTGCCACACCGGGATGCCTCCCCTGAAATCATCTGCCCCATCCATGCCTGAGCCCTCCCATGCAGCGCCCAGAGGAGCTGCTACAGTGA